AATATGAAACACATTAACTCACCACATTATTCTACTGAACTGCGAAAGAATCACGTCAGCTGTCCACATTGTTACTCAGCTGTGCCGACTCGTTTCTCAGCCGTGTGCGATAATTCTCAGACAGCAGTTAGTTCCAGCACAAAATTTAATGGAATGAATTCTCAGCAGAATACTCACTCTCTGTTTCGTATGGCTGAATTTCCATACATTCCTCTCATGAGGTCAATTTCGAGGATTCAGGTCGACAGCTTTCATACTGAAAGTAATTTTTGGCTGAGAACAGAGGGACAACGTTGAGAAGCGACGCTCCAGGACTAAACAGCAACGGGACAAACTGTAATCGATTGTTCAAACACAAATGTAGACCGTAAAATTCGGATTTCCGCCGACCTGAGTGAATTCGGGACAGGAAGCCAGTTAGGAAAAGGTATGATGGAGTACACGTGTTGGTGAGAAGTGTATCCACTGCAAAGCCACCTGTTTCGTAATCCCAGGGTAAAAGTCACACACAAAACGGGAATATTTCTATTACGCAGAATAATCCTGACATACTCATCGGAATGCTTCATCAACTGCGTAGTTATAGCACATTACATAATTCTGGTAAACAATGAAAGGTGGACAGGAATGCTCATCGAAATTTGGGCGCGGTTGTGTGCGTGAGAGAATGACTCACGATTGTGTTAACAACCTCTTTTATCAGTCATTGAGTGAACCAGGCTGGCTGATGCTCTCCTGTCCAATCGGTCACGACTTTGGTGGTAGAGTCAGCATAACTTGCCTCATTGGAACGCGCGAATTGATACACTCAGAGATTGTCAGTAACTAGTGAACTGGTTCTGAAAGTTACCTGCAAATCCGCATGTTTCCAAGTGCCCTGATAAAATGGTAATGAAGATTAAAGAAGAGGAGTTATTGAGGAAAACCTTCTCAAGTTTGAGTTCCGACATCAATTATTCACTGCATGCTGTGGTTCTGGTTGCTACCACGCAGCGGTCACCTCATTCCGAGAGGTATGCAATCCTAGCTGTACGTTCTAACCTTTTTCTTTTTGGCTACTATCAAATTGTTAGTAGTCCAACTCTGCCTAATACATTCCATTACTTACTTTGCACGGTACGGCACTGAAATGACATCTTCGTCAGACACGAAATTGGATCCGGATTGGTCACTAAATATGATCTGTTATTGTTCGTGTATGCTTTACTTGTTGTAATTTGCCATTTTGATTTATTCCACACATAATTGTGAGGTGAATGATAGTGATTCGTAGTTTTCTAGATTCCAAACTGACTTACGTTTAACCCAACCGCTGGGTTTTTGAGCATATTTGACAGCCCCGTAACTTACAACGCAGCGACAAAAATTAAAATTCATGTCCGCTTAAACTGGCCTAGTAGCCGTGCTCTGCTATTCAGGTCGCTTCTGGTGTCCGTTTCGCTTCCCTTTGAATTCCAATACGGAAACATTCACCACCAACCGAAGTCCTTATTTGAGTACGTTGTTTGGTTCGCACATTCTCGGTCATTGTCACATAAATACTACGGATTTGTATTTATACGAAGCAAGCTGATAAGATTCAATGTGGGTTGCGTATTGGTTCAGGCTTGAGGCTAACGATCATCCTTGTCGGCCGAATTCAAGTTATTCCATATTGAACCTCCGTGTACGCACATTCACACTACTCATTGTTTCTAAAACGCCAGATGACAGATAGCAGTGAGTCGATTTTTCCCAACGAATTTTAATGTTCAGTAGAGCTTTGATATTGCATGGTGAGCCATGTAAGATTCCTGACTGCGACTTTGTGCATAGGCGGATTCAAAGACTAACTACTCATTACTAGCAGTATAGACATTTACTGTACGTCTATCAATTTCCTGGATAAGGATGACCCATCGTTGATGACGTGTGAAAAAATCGGCTAGGTGCGGAATTCAGTATCATTTAGATAAGTAACGCTTAGGCTGTTTTTAGCAGGGCAATAGAATTCTCAGCTCCAACTGTGTTCAAAGGACGTTCGGGTTCCCGGTGACGGTCGAGTGATCTAGAGCGTTTGTTTACCACCTCGAAGATTAGAGGATCGAATCCCCGCCACCACCAGTTACTATGGTGATAGACAGTAATCCCCACTGCCGTCCGGCTCGTTATCACACCTGATCTACTGAGACCTTATGTGGTTCTATGCCACCCCGAGTCTCAGGATCAGGTTGGCGGTTATCCTCAATAGTGCAGTGGGCCTTTGTGGTCATGAGATATATATATATACCTTTCATTGAACTCATGCGCAAGCAAGCCATAAAAAAGATAACTTCGACGATAATAGTAATGATAGCCATTGTTTCTCTGCGTCTGAGTACAAAACTATTTTAAGGTCTTTCAGAACACGGGAATCGGTCTACCACGAGTCACCAGATCTCACTCATTTTTGTATCGTTTGAGTTCTACTCTTTGGTATCTATGGCCCCCTATGCAAGCGACTTCTGCTCTCAACTCAGATCACTCTAGCCCACAAATGGAAAGCAAAAGATGACGACACAGCGCACCAAAAGCCAATGTAGTAATTTCGCTTCAGAGAGGCTTACGCGACTCTCTGACACTCTTGTTTTTCTTGTTTACTGATTCCGACTGAGTTTGCTGATGCGAGATAGCAGCTCCACTGGTTGAACAAATTGAACGGACAGAGATCTCACACGGAGGTCCCTACCATGGATAGGTCGGACCTCAGAGCTTCAAATGTGGACTTGGCTTTCTGACGAACGGACGAATAGATCGAACTCACACCAAACGGTTTTGACCAGATTTTAGTCGATTTCATGGGTCATTTTGCTTTCGTAATTTCGTGATAGCTCCAAGCACCGCACAAATGAACTTAATCTGACGATATATTCATCCAAATGTAATGCCGCGAAAGCTGACTGAGTTAGTTACGATTGGAAGTAGTGCATGAAATGACAGTCCAAAATCGATGGAATCGCTTAGCTCTGTTATCCCATACTTTCAGTGACGGTTAAATAGCCCCAATGAGCCCCGTTGAGTTGGCCATGTTTTGGTTATTTCTGTTGAGAGATGTGCTGATTTCCTCACATTCCACGAGGCATCATATGCAGCGGGAGTAACCATGGACACCAGAAGACTTGTTTAGACGGCAAATTTCACTTTCAAAGCAGGCTCTCCGTCTTGATTGCCTTGCAAACCTCATTAATTGAAGGTGTGTAGCAAACCGGAGACGCGCATTATGAAACTGCAGTTAGAAGTCACAAACAGGATGCAACGCGTGTTCGGCCAGACACGGACATGAACTGCGGTCAGTGAAATCACTATAGTTTACTGTGGTGGGGGCCACGTGTCGGCTAATCAAAGGGATCTATTTTGACATATACGCGAAATCTCGTAGCTTAGCTGGTACAGCGCATGTGGTACAAAAGCGTGGCTAGCGTCCGTATCTGCGATCGTGTTCTACCGAGGCACCCGAATTTTGTTGCTTGTGTTAATTCAACGACAGACATAACTGACTGACTTTCGGTGTTCGTTCCAAACGTGCTATCGAATCGGAAAACCCCATAGACCGGGAGTATAAAATGCAAAAGGAATCCAATACAGATTTCCTGATGATGTCTAGTCATAACAATCAATGGTCACTAAGGGGACACAGAAATGCGTAACGTTCATTGTGACGTTTCGACCAAACCCACGACTCGTTATTAAACGCGAGTAAATAGGATTGCTACTAGTTCTGTGTACTTTGGTTTGTTGTCTGTCATTCCGTTTGGTCGTTCTTTTATGGCGTTCTCATAGGTCTAGCTAAGTTGGCGTAATTGTTATAGATTTCGATGTGTCCATTTCACGAGTTGTCCGGGTGGAGTATATCGAGGATCAGGCACTGTCCCTTCCAGTTGGTTTGCACGAATGCCCCTGCGTTGTCCATCTTGACCTCGTGACCGGTTTGCCTACAGCTGTTCCGTATCTAACAGCGTGGATTAGCGCGCGGTGGTCGAGTGGTTTAGGGCGTTTGATTACCACCTCGGAGGTCAGAGGTTCCAATCCCCGCCATCATCGGTTACTTCGGTGCTAGACAGTAATTCCCATTGTCGTCCGGCTCGTTATCACACCTCACCTATTGAGAACTTACGTAGTTCTCTACCACTCCAAGTTTCAGGATCAGGTTGGCGGTTATCCTCAGTAGTGCAGTGGAGGTTAGCGGCTGTGGGGTATAGCCCTTCCATTGCACTCAGGCACAAGCATGTGTTACCAATAATGATTGAGGTTATGTTCGGTCAGGCGAACTTGTGAATGTCCGCTTGTTATATATATATATATATATATATATATATATATATATATATATATATATATATATATATATATGACATATTTTGAACTTGCCAACTCAAGGCAACTTTATTATGGAAACCAGGGTCACTGAATTTCACGAGGTCACAAATCACCACGTAGCTGACGTTAGCAATGTTGTTATGCACAATTCTATATTAAAGCCCTTTGTTATGACGTAAAATAGGAAAGTTAAGAATGGAAAATTAATACAAGCACAAATTAGCCGTAAGTAGGATGGAGCTGGGTGGACAAAACCCCCCGAAAGCACACGATCCATCACGCAGTGGTTCTCCCTCATCATCGTACCTGATAGTCCTTTGCTTACGCATTTTCATACTTGTGCACTCCGTAGGTGCAATGAGCACAAGGATCTGATATAGTGATTCAGGACTGTGAATGGACAATTTTGATTGAAGAGCCCACTGAGGAATGACAATTGTGTTTCACTGATGACTTTTGTGGGTAAGTTTTTGCTAACTGAAAGAAAAACGAGATTGCTGTTGCAAGCTCATATATTGACAGTGAGTAGCACTCAGATGGGTGGACAAGATTTCCTCAGAACTCCTTAGCTTTCTCTTTAATTGTGATGAATAACTCTTGTGTGAACGTAATCCTCTCTAAGATAAACCGAAATCCCTCGCCTGTACATGGGATCTCTTTTCCAGGAGGCTGAGGCTCGAGGTGACTTGACAATCGGTCTGCAATACAATCCGGAAACTGCTCGTCTAACACTGAACCCCCTGAAATGTAGCGGGGTCGTATTTCCAAAAGGAACCAGTAAGTTATTTTCCTGGCGTTTTCCGTCCTTGTACGTAGAAACGATGTTTTATTCGGGAAGAGTGATTTCCTCTCATAAGTTTAGAAACAGAAATCAGAAATACAGGTTTGCACATTGTATCCTGAACATTTTTACTGCTTCTGTACACGTGCACATTGCATTCAACATGATTTTCATATAGCCTTTAAAAAAACCAGTGAAACTGAAACAAGATTGATTCGAATGGTACATGATGGAGGCGAACAAGAATATTAGTTCGCCAGGTTTTGGCTAGACTGATAATCCAGTCACGAACGGCTAAGGCCTCGCCATATCTGAGCGGTCTCGTGTTTGTAGTGTTGTATATGAACTTAAATGAGTTGCCTGGAGTTTCACAGTGTTTTTACTTAATCAGACATCGCCTAGTTGATGATCTGATTGTTTTTAGCTTGGTTGATGAGTTCATCACTGCTAACTAACTACCAATCGTTTTTTGAAGCCTCATTGGAATATGTCAATTTAATCGATGTCGTAATTGTCTCTCTGTTCTGCCGATGTAGACCGCTGAGCATCTACCCGTGAATTGATAGACACGATATGATTTAGCACACGGAGGCAAAGGCTGTTTTACCCACGGTATTGGTGTCCGTGTTCCTGTGAAGACGATGACCGGATAAATTGAGCAAGAAGTGCGTCTGATGAGTGAATTTAGGTGCTCATTTTTTTAGCTAACTGATGTCCTCACCTTTGGCCTATCACTTTGGTTTCACCCTGGTGACCTGATATTTAGTCTCCCCTAGTGTTCCTATTCGCTGCTGTCAATTGTCTTTTACTTCAGTCCTGTTTCAGTTTCACTGGTTATTTTTCAAACTACATGAAACTCACACTGACCACAGCAGGCACGTGTACAGACGCAGCGAAATGGTCCAGGCTACATTGTGCAAACCCAAGTTTTGAATTATCCATTAAAATGTTCACTTTTCCAGGATTTTCTAGCTTTGTGGGAAAGCTACAAGGGGACGATCAACACACGTACTCAGTGGACACACCACAGGTCGTTATTCATGTTTGTTTGTACGGCTGTAATCGAAACTACCTCTTAATTCAGCAACACAGCAACAGGATGCGACAGATGCAAGTGGATTTTGGATTACATAGATCACTCTGCATCCTCAGGCCATCAGAAAACTCATAAAACTACCGAAATGTTCACTAAATCTCGTCCAGTCGTGTGCTTTTTGTACCATTGGACAGGAACAGGTTAGTTCAGTGATTACAATCAGTAAAGAAAGCTTTTTAAGTCGTGAAAAAATACTTTGCTGACTTGTTCTAGCCCACCTAAACTGCTTTCCGTACCGGGCTACTTTTATTCTTGTCAGTAGGCAAATTATCGAAAAATATCCTCGGGCTGTGAGCCTCCGGCCTGGCTGCCCAGACCGCATACTTTGCATGCTGACGAAATTCTCGCCGGTAAAAGCTGCCGTGAATCTAAGATTATCGACGGAAGAATATCAGCATGTAGTCATTTCCTTGGAAGTCCAAAAGGCTATGAAGCCAGTGGTCCAGATTGCTTTTCGATAATCTTATTACACGCGATAACAAGTAAATGTTATTACCACCGATTCCGTCTGAATATATCGGACAATAAAAAAGTTGAATCTGTGGCACTAGTGGAAGAGTGAAAAATATGATCTGTGTGGTGCATATAAACTGCTTAGGTTGGTCTTTGGATAATTAGTTAAAACAACACCAAAACCCGACTACGAGTTAAATGTATGCATATTGTGTTTGATTGTAATAATTTATTTCAAAAGGCTCTATCACGCTATTAAATAGGGATGGATGATAATCACTACACACACAGTGGTTCTTCTTTTCAACGGTGCTGGAGTGACTACGTTGGAGAACAGCAGAAGGTTTGTTCTGGTGGAATGCACAGAAACCGCAGGTATTGCCAACACGATCATTTGCGCATATGGTGCCACTTTTGACATACTTCGTGTTGCCATTTAATTAGTACTAGGACGCCGAAAGAGTCCCAAGAGTCAATGGCTGGTATTAAAAGTGGATAACGACTTTTGTTTTCATAGATGAATGTTGAAATTTTACGATTTTTCCCGGTAATGAATTTCACGAGCTTCTTCATACTTTCGCTGAAATCTGTTTAGCGGTTCACACTCTAGGAAGACCCCAATCGCTGTACAGGACACAAAAACGAGGTGTTCGCTTGAACCCTAGCGGTGGCTTTTTATCTGACCCGTCCACACACAGGATACTACTCAGCGTGCTTATAATGGAGATGATCTGGGGTGTCCCACCCGGACTCTAGGAATAAAGACCAAAATATATCAGGTTATTCATATGCTATTGCAGAATATCGGGGTGGTTTACCAGAAGTGGCCGAAGGAGTCATGAATTTAAACTCCCGATATCAACTGCATGAGACCGCCATCGGCTCTTTCTAGAGTCGAGTAATGATCAATCGGTCATTTTGAAGATCAATACAACATGACTATCCTTACTACTCAATACCACTTTCTATTGTTTTTCAACAAAGTCACTCTTGCACCGTTGAAAGGAAGAACCACTGTGCGTGTAGCGATTATCATCCATCCCTACATGATAGCATGATAAAGCCTTATGAATTCAATTACCACAATCAAACACAATATACACATTTAACCCGTAGTCTGGTTGTTGGTGTTGATTTGGTCAATCAATAAGATATAAGCAGAAAACCCACGGTAGGTGTCAAACTGGTCGACAATATGGATAACTTCGCATGTTTTGCCAATATTTCAGGCGGCCATAGGTGCCGAAAAGGTTGGTGATGGGAAAATATTTCCTCCATAGTTAGGTGATCGGCAGCCTGTAACTTGTGCATTTCAGATGGCCGTTTTATAAATAAGGCATGGTGAAGAAGCTAGTATATGCGTCAGGACACTTGATGACCTGATCAGGAGCAAGAATAGTCCACGAATGAAACTTAAACAGAGAGAGACAGAGTCGTTTCTTTCGGAACCGTTTTGTAGGTGGAAGAGGTAACGGGCCTTTTGGACCCCAGTGGAGTGTTGTAAAACAGTTAGTTAGCTGATCCCCGGTTTAAAGTGGGATACCGCTTGTCTCTGGAGTATGTAGAAAGTTTTCTTGCTAACACAACTGTTGTGTCTGGTTAAATTCTCGCACACTGAGCGAACAACCGATCAATATTCCTCTCATGAATGGACATAAGCCTGATTTGCCTTGATCTTTAATCATGCTTAAGCTCCAGCAGTATTGACTTATCGATTTTGCTGTGTACTGCTTGATCCTACTCTGCAGAGGGTGACAGCACATGTAGTTTAATTATTTATGCCAACTCACTTGCTTGTTTGCCGCTTACACGCCGGCTACAGCCGGGTTTTGTGTTTACGATCGCACAAATAAATGCAACGCCACCATTACGTGTTTATCGTTAACTATAGACGCAACAACAACCAAGTCCATCATCTTATGAATCAAAACATTATGAAAGCATTTGAGCTTCCCGATGAGTGGCAGAAAGAAAGAAAAATGTCATTAGATAGGTTACATCTGATTCGCTGTGTAAGTGACAATGCTCATATTGGTTCGCAATAAGGATTTTTAGCACTGGGATTTCACATGCATTCAACATGTTTATATGCACCACACATATCATATTTTTCACTCTTCCACTAGTGCCACAGATTCAACTTTTTTATTGTCCGATATATTCAGACGGAATCGGTGGTAATAACATTTACTTGTTATCGCGTGTAATAAGATTATCGAAAAGCAATCTGGACCACTGGCTTCATAGCCTTTTGGACTTCCAAGGAAATGACTACATGCTGATATTCTTCCGTCGATAATCTTAGATTCACGGCAGCTTTTACCGGCGAGAATTTCGTCAGCATGCAAAGTATGCGGTCTGGGCAGCCAGGCCGGAGGCTCACAGCCCGAGGATATTTTTCGATAATTTGCCTACTGACAAGAATAAAAGTAGCCCGGTACGGAAAGCAGTTTAGGTGGGCTAGAACAAGTCAGCAAAGTATTTTTCACGACTCAAAGTCATTCTGTGCGGTCTCTATTCATCATGGGATGTTCACGTGAGCCATTCGCGTTCTATTGGTGCTACCGCGATAGATCAGCTTCTAGAGCAACTGCTTATTGGGTGGACGATCACCGATTTGGTTCGGGTTCGTGGCGTGAATATCTGGATGCGAAAATTGCCAGCACACTCTCCATAATCGACGAGATTTCCGTGACACAGCTTGTTATTTACTAGAGTTTGGTGTTTAAAATGTGGGCTTTGAATGTGGCACTAAGAGCCGGGACGTTGATGTAGACAGAGGAAAATCCACTTGCATTTACCTCAGCCAAAAGGTAACACCTGGATCGAAAACCGAACCGCTGACCTCCCGCCTACCAGACAGTTGCTCGAGTTGCTGATGTATCGTAGAACTGCCCGTTGGGTTTGACTGACAGAGGAATATGAACTCTAAATATCACCTACGAAATTCATGATTTTCTATGGCCTAATAAAATAATACACAGTAGTCCAATTGTAACCGTAAATGGTAGGAAAGAAAGATCACGGGATGGCTGAACAGCCGAAGTCCAACGCGTCATTTTAAGTTTACAGCAGGAGGCACAGCAACTGAAACCATCGATCCACACGGATGAGAAAGCTGAAAAATAAGGCAAGCACTGGACGATGTGTAGGAATTGAATCTATCCTGCCAACCATACGTAATGGAATAGTTCGCACCCTGACTACGAGCACCAAGAACTGACAAGCCTGGACAAGAACTGCAGAAATGCATTCTACCCGAAGAAGGCATGCAACTGTCGAGAGATAACGTACTGACCAATTATAAAGTAACTCCTCTGTGTCTCACAACCTGACGGTCAATCTTCGGCTTCAAATCATTGGTGGGAATCGGGAAGTGACGTCACAGCGCACTGGGCCGCAAGTGGAAGCATTTGAATCACTACACTAGGCCTCACTAGTACAGGAGTCGTTTGCTTAACCAACTGGTATGGAACGCACGCTCAAACTGACCCACTCACTTCCACACACAAGCAAAAAAGAGTCAGACTAATGATATTCTGGTCTTTGCTTATTGAAACTGTTCACCAAACGTTTTTCATTGGGATGAATGCTGGAGGAATGCAAAATCAAACCAATAAGGGAACACCGAACGGAATGTTTGGCCAAGTATCGATCACTACCATCAAGTTACCACCTTCTCATTGACAAGACCTCTAGTTCTTACATGGATTCGTCTTCCATAAGTGCAGGATTTGGGCCACTGTTCAGACATATCACATCGGCACTTAGTCGTGTTACACTATTCCTAACCAACGCGTACTTTCAGAGTGAAATCTGCTGAATTGAATTCTCTCATAATTGTACTCACGAGAGGAAAGCAACGAAAGTCATGCTGGTTGGGTGAAAGCGATACGTGAAAGAAAGTAGTTCGTTCCGAAAGTTCAGTTCAGCGGATTTCATTCCGAAATTAATTGTGTGGTTGTGGATTATCACACACGGTTGAGAAACGATGCGACAATGCTGAGTACTGACGTGTGAACCTGAAGTATCATATATCAGGCCTCGATGAACAAAACAGAAATTTTTTACCTGTCCAAGTCCCGACGGTGGCACACAAAAGAAATTTGCACCTAACAGCTTTTAGGACATTCTGAAAACTCAGAACCAGACTCCGAGAAGTCCGAAATCTGTCGCTGTATCAACAACAATATGGAACGTACCAGTCAACCGATACGAACAGTACTCATGTTTAACAAGGCATAATATCAGTGGCACTGGTAATCTAACGCGACACATGGAAATTCGACCGCAGTTTCGAAGATCTTAATCGAATATAACAAACAGCATACCAAGTCAAACCCCCGTAGATTTTCCAACGGGATATCAGACTGGAGTGGTTGAGGATTACGACACAACATGATTCGGTGTGCATGAAATCTGAAAATTGGGAAGATTACGAATGTAAACTCGCCACGCTGCTCATCGGCGAATCACAGATAATACCGTGGGCAGAACTGATATGGACCATCAATTCCGCATGTTCTCAATCGGCTGCTAACGCACGTTCCATACGATTGCCTAACGTCCAAACAATGCGGTGGGGCAAATAATTTGGTGTTTGTGTGGTGGCCATCGGACACAGATGGGTGAACAGTAAGAGTAATTCACACCAAAATACGCAAAAAAAGGGCGGAGTAGGAGACCACGCAAGATGAGGTCAAACAGATCATTACCACGACAAAACAAGTTGTGTAACGAAAATATTTTGAACACAGAGTCCAAGCTTTATCCAGGTAATGATTACTGCTCCCGTGAACTTTGGAAGTCCCGATTTCTCGGCCTTGTGATGATATGAAATGCACTAGCGGGTCAACTAAGTGAGCTGAATTCGACAAGTGACGTGTCACTGAATTGGGTGATAGCTATCCACCACGAAGACTCAGGTTCTCTGGGTTGTGCTCACACATTCTGACAGAGAGACGACGTGCCGTTCCGCTTGTGTAGCCCTGACTTTGTGTCAAGGGAAACAGAAAGACTGACGAATACACGCATAGACAATGATTATCCACTGACGTCTATCCAAAAGTACCGTACCCACCCCCACAGTGCTCTTGTTCTACTGAAATAGATCAAAGGGAAAGAGTGTATGGAACCGAAAGCAGTACCAATGGGATGGGATGAATGCAGGCTTGAATTTGTATCGCAGTTCCCATTATCTCATACATACTGAGCGAGGTACGCTTGATGCAGGTCTCCGCATGTGTTGAACGATCTCAGCCGGGTTTGCCGCGGCGTGCAATTCTCAAGCCCCAGCCAATCGTTTTTCTTTGGCTGACTCATTGATCTTTGTGTCCACTGTCTACTGTCATACGCGCATATGCATATCGCATGCAAATACGATCCATTCCACTCTGCTAGTTTCTGATTGGTTATTCCTAACACGTGTGCTTTGTAGATACGCACATCCTGTTACCAATACACATACTTCGCCGAGCACCACTTGATCTCCCGTCTTCCTGATTGCGTTTCGTGGTTTGAGCGTAAAAATGCCGATTGTTGGATTTCGTGATTCGGAGTACCGTTAGTCCGTATTCTTAGAACAATTAATTCACAATGTTCACAATGTTTCTCATAAAAAATTGTAGTTTCGTTTATACCGATTTGTACGCCTCAGTTTCAGTGAAGGGACGGACTGATGGCTTTTCGGCGTCATAAGTTCATAATAGCTATGCGACCAACATTTACGCGAATCTACGGAGTCGTTCTGTTCGATGACGTGGTTGGCCAGTTTGGTTGCTAAGCTAAATTCCCATTTGACAACTAGCAGTGAATTACCAAATAATCTGCTCGATTTCGTTCACTCGCTACTTCATTCAGATACGTCTCATCAGTATTATTTGAAGTGTAGTATCAACCAAGAGCAAATTTCAGAAAATGGGGTGTTCTCATGTCTGATTTGTAACCATTCTCACAGTTCAATATCAAACTCGAAGGAACAGTAGAATAGGTAGTTCCGTATCTGAGCATTCGTGGAAAACAAAACGACTTCATACATGAAACTGAAAGGCAGGAATCAAGAAGTGTGTGATATTACAACCCCAAAAGGATGGCCTATTCATTATGATGCTTGGTTGACTGATTGATTTGTTCCACACTCTATCAGTCCCACTCTGAGATAATGTTTCTTTAAATATTTCTTCAACTGCTTGCACTCCAGAGAACATCTTCCTTCGGGCTGCTCTCATCTCCAATCGCAAACTGATTGCTTCACAGCAATCCAATCCGTCTGCTCGGCTCACTCTGAACGCGGCTGAATTTCTGCTCGGAGAAAGACTCCAATTCGTGGTGGAAGAACATCTGAGTCAAGTGTGCCTTCTGCTGAGCGTGTTTGCTCGGTCCACGGGCAAACTGCAAGACAGTATTACCTTGTTGGGTCGTTGTGTGACTGGACCGAATGGCCTGGCTTACGGGGAGGGATTGGCTCATTGGCAGGCTATTGTAATTCGTCGCAGTATGGTCAAACGAACACACGTGCTGTTTTGATAAACGCAAGAGCAGTGTCCCTTCAAGATCAGCTTCGTACGACTTTAGCTTACCTCTCGAAAACATGGCTTTAAAATGCTACTGACCACTTGTCGCTCATCAGCTTTTTGCATGAATAATATGAACATCATTAGGTATTTGTGAACTTCCTTTAATACTGTGCGCTTTTTTGCAAGAAGGGTTTAAATGATGGCTGTGTCGGTTCATCCGTCACTAGCCTGACAGTCTGTCTGGGTCTGCATTCGAAAATTTTTGATACACTGATTATCGGAATGTGATCTTCTTTTGTTTGACGGGACTTTACAACGAGTAGTAGAGAGAAGGGGACTTCATCCAAAGGTGAGCAGACAAATTCAACAATACGAGGCAATCGAGCAGAAGACTTAACATATAGATGTTCAATGTATGGAACGAATACAGAACCAAAATGGAAGAAGCCTCATCTACTTTGTTTTATTGTCCCTGTAACTTTCCCGTTGAAAGACAAGGGTTGCTGAGATACTTATTAGTATGGTCTGCCACTGCAAGCGGTGATCAATCTGTCCATTGATCAGTGTTTTCTCGATAAACATGTATTTAAAGAAATCTTCTGTAAGTGCGGGCACAGGGATAGAGTTTACCGATATAGGAAAGCTGTGATACAGTTACGGTGTAACTGAAGACATGAATCCTTGTCGATTATTTTCTAATGAACTGGATCAATAGCCAAGTCAGATGAAAACCACTGACTGCAACTGCGACTGGGATCCAAACAGAAAATTACACATTTACAACACTTGCCAACTGTTTTGTGGTCACTCATTAGTTCTAGGAAAAACTCCTCTGACTTCGAATCATCTCGGTTTATTCGTATAAAACAGGTCACTTATATAAGATGGGTGCTGATCATAATCAAAACTTGCATAGAGGCTTACTGGTCCACTGGCATTTCTAAAAGGCCCATCTGGCTGGTTTGTCTGGTTGCTGGATTGGGTGACTCAACTCTGATCGGTCTAGACAAGTGTTGGCCACTGATTAGTTCATTGATCCGCTTGACTGACTCCACTCTTGTCTGCTATTCTGGACAGCTGATCATGTGCTGTCTGCTCCGTTGTCTCCGACCTTGACCTTGAGTCTGAACGGGCGATGGCGTGCTGCGTGGCACTGAACCAGACCGTCTGTTAGCAATGTGTCGGCTCAAACCAATTTTCTATGCCCATCACGATCATGCATCGATTATATTTGATGGCTTTTAAATCTGACGTTGTTTGTGGCTAGGGTTGATGAATTTCATAAAATCCGGATCACTGAGCTTGGCCTTTAGTTCGCGAAAGGCCAGTTTTCCTCGTTTGGTTGTACTATAATGGGCCAGTGATCTTCCACAGGGGGTCCCAAGGGTTTGATCTGAGGGGCCAAAAAGCTCCAAGAGCCCTGTTTTCAAACCACCCACTAATTCCAAGAAGAACGCCTACCTGTTTCTGAACTATTTCAGTTTATATCAGCTCTTCTGGCTGGTTGGTCTGGTTGCAACACGACTGGCTGATTCGGCTTCGGTGGGTTCAGACAACTGCCCCCTGATTGGCTGATCGTTTCACTTCGCTGGCTTCAATGTTGTTCTCGATTCTGAACATGGAATGGCGTAAAGTCTGACGACCGAATCGTCGATCTGCTTCGGTGAGTTCATCCGTGACTTCGATTCTGCCTTCTACTAAACTAACCATGCCATCTATAGGCAATGAGTTTTTCAATACACTCATAAGCCCGAATCCCAAGGTCATCTTAGAGATCCAGTTTCACCCCGGTGGAGAAATTCCCATAAATACAATGGAGTACGGGGAACTTCACTAGTGAGCACTGACTATGACGTCACCTTGGCTGGTGATGAGAAGTTCGCCAAGGTCAGCGGGATCAGGAGCATACGGGAAAAGTCGACGAATACTGTTTTGTGAGACCTTGTGACATCAAAATACGGAGAATGCCTTATTACGTAATATTATTGCTTCTATCCGATTCTACGTGAATCGAACTGCTGAAAGCAAGCTCAGATAGCTTGACGGTCGAAGTGCGGAGCTCAGAATTCCGTAATCTAGGCTCTGCTCCTTGGCTGTACTTGGTGAAATGGCAACGACGAAGATTCCAAAAGCATCGATGGAACAATTGCCGCATTTTATTCACAGTAATCTCATTCGTGCACCAGGGATGTGAGCAGATGCTCCTCGATGAGCAGTCCACTAGGGAATCCCAAAAATGATTCGCCGACGAGCGACAGTAACCACGAAACCGGAGGTGTGCTTCGGAGAAATCTTATCTACTCATCTACGTAGGACTTGCTACCAATAGTTGTGCGGTCTTTTCATTGAGTCTTATTCCACTCATATAAGTTCATATTTCACTTTAAGCTAGTTGGGCTACTGATAGTAGTATATAGCTGGAGAGTAGGAATACAATCCGTACAGTGCTTGCTTTTGATTTTCCGTGGTGAGAGTAAGGCTGATATTGTAAAGCGAAATAGTATTCTGCAATCAGTGCTCTATTGGGGGTATAGTAACAAAAGTTAGTCAAGCACATTTCTGAAAAGACCGTGACCGTAGCGAGAGACAGAGGTTTCATTTGATCCGGTTCACACTCAGAACAAGATCGAGTGAACCAGGAACGGATTTGGGGAGGAAGTGATCGACAGTGTGCGAGCACTACAAAGAGAGGGCTAGGTTGAGGGAACGTGGTTATAGCAAACAAGCCAGATAGTTCAGCATAGCGAGCAATATGCGACCCTTTCAGATAGTTTGCTTTCGCACCCGCACTCCATTCGCGTGCAATGTGCGCGTTCCGCGTCGGCCTTGTTGTCAGTGTTTCTTTTCTGTGCATCCTTCTTGCTGCGTCGACCTGACTGACATCTTGATCCAAAGTTTAGTATGGACCACTTTGCTGTTTACAGGAGAGTTCTGCTGCAATTCTCGATAGGATCTGTCGTCGGATGCATTGGAATTTGTCACATCTATTTGCTATCCTTATGTGCCTGTTGGTGATCGATTAACGCGTTTAACTTCATGACCTCCTCTTTCCACGGCCACTGCAGTCTCTAGTGACTAAGCATGGGTGGGATGGACACAAACGTGTGATCTTTTTCACCCTGTGCAATGATGAATTCCGACTATGTTTTAAGGAGTGTATGAGTTTTGTCGCATCGTTTAACGCTTTGGAATGCGTGCAATGGCTTTAACAATCGTGCCTTCGCTCTTTGTCTTTCTTGTCCTGAGGTTGGCTATTCACTCAGTGAACCACACATTTCTCTGGCGAAGCCACTTGTTGACTAATGTGTCAGAGAAATCCATTTCTGTCATACAATCTCGGTACGTGGATAATCGTAAAGTAGTTTTGGTTTGCATGGTGATTATCACTCGAGTTCTCTCTCTCTCCTCTGTTTCTTTTCTTTTGTTTAACTTCTTACTTGACATGATCTTAAAGATCATTCATTTTATGTGACAGTGGTGGTACCGAACTCCTCCCAGATCGATCAACTTCTTCGGGATGAGTAAGGAGGACAAAATTCTGTATCACTGGTTGATCGAATATTGAACCTCACTGTGTCGAAGGAGACGAAATATCTCATTTTAGTAATATTTCAGAAACGGGACAAACGCCGAACGCATTACCAAGCGCAAAAAGTATTCACTCCATCCGGTTACCTTGAAAGTAAGCCCATTCCATCATAAGAGGCAGCTACTTGGAATCATCGGCATTATCATTGCTCGTTACCCAGGATTCGTTAGAGGCATGTCATGCTCCGTCCGATCATCCACAAATCGTATTTGTTTAAACGGGCCGGAATCAAACTGGACTAGGAAACACAAGCCAGCTGGTCAGTAGACTGCTCTTAGTCGCACAACCCCAGTAAGAAGACTGTTCCCGCATTGGTCAGTACCAGTATTCGGTCCTCCATTTAGAAAGATGGTGCCCCTAACTAATGTATCCAAGATTCTTGGTTAAATGGAAGTATTGAGAACTTTGACCGCTTTCGACAAGACGGAAAATAAAGCAAGAGGATAGGCCGTGGTATGATAACTTACATCAATTATGAGTAGTCTGGCGAGTCTGAATTCGTCTTCACTTTCTCATGTAATGGTTGTTAGGTTCCATCTTAAATTCTCGCATTTTCGAGACAGTGATCATTAATTTGTGCACAACTCTTTTTACTCTCAGAGACATCAACCTACTCTATGACACTTTAATACCCATTCTAACTTCATTACTGTAGGACAGTTTACGCATTGTTGTCAGAAATTTTCCTTACGCTCCCGGGTCCGTTCTACATACTTTAGTTTAAGTGACTTTTATCTTATCCCAGTTAGTGAGAATGCTGTTTTGGACAGACCGCTCACCAACCATACTGGAATTTTTAATTTACAACTGGAAGCTCTCATTACCATCAGACCAAAAGTTTACTCACATTCAGCACACAGTTCACTCGTCAGGACAAAACGAGCAAAAGTCAGTACTAGAAGCTTGTCACACGTCAAAATTGTTCTTCTTCACACATCCCTTTTAATTATTTCTTCGTGATTTTTCGAATGTTCTCTTTGCCCGTTAGAATTGTTTACGAAGACACAGAATGCGGTGTTTGGCTTTTGTTATCAAATGCAGATCATTTTTTAACGACGGCTTAACAACTCCTCTGAGAAGGCGAAAAGAACGTACCTATAAACTACACGAATAAGCTTCTGTGAAACGCCACTCAGTCTTGGTCGAACAAGAGATACAACGGCTGAATACCTCATTTAATCATCAGTTCTGTATCTCAGATAGCAAAACTTCTTTGGCACGGAATCAAGCTTCTATGTGGAAAACGGATTCTGTCAGTAGGCCACCTTATAAATGTTGACAGTCTGAACACCGCGTTTTCTGGTAAACACAGACCGCCGCATCAAAAGACCTCCTCGCAAACATTCACGGTGTTGATCTCAGATTGACCATACTACTGATGACAGATCAACCCGAGATAAATGCTCTTTCCACGGCAGCTTTCAGTTCAGTTCAGTTTTTTAACCATCAACCACGCAGTTGCGCGCCCTGGTTTTGGTTGCTATCTCGCCGAGTTGGGAGCAAAATGAATAAAAGCACAAAATGAAAAAAAGAATTGAAAACCAAGCAATTGGTGGAAATCATGAAGATGAAAAAGAGCCCGAATGCTGCTACACCACCTAGCCATATCATTTAACGTATCCAACTATCTAAGAGGCAGGTCACGTGGACCCCAACCCGGAAGTCACACACGTCCTACGTGGCCGTTTTTACACCTCTTTGCAATGCCATGGACTGACCACTTCGACCTGCCTCGGAGGACAGCTTGCATCAAGGAAGTTTATGCCCAGCTATCTTAACTTGCCCAGATTCAGCACGTGTTCCAGTGACTGATTTCTAGTTTCCAACACCATACGTCCAACCTCCGCGTTGCCGACATGATGTTCTCACCAAGAGTGTTGGATGTCCAAACAAGAAGTTCTGTTGGAGCACAAGGATGTGGGGAACTCTCTGAACGTCGTGGAATCCCTAATGCAAAAGCACAAGTACTTTTAGAAATCTCACTGTGAAAGAAGAAAAAGTAAACCGCAGTGATGACCTCACTGCAGAACCCATAGATAACCAGAGTTGCGCAACCCCAAAAATTGCAGAATTTCAACAAACAGTAAACACCGGGTCTGCAGACCAGTCGCAGCAACAAGCACCACAGGGCATGGGTTGAACTGCGAAAATCCACACATCTGCCCCGGGGCAACAGGTGATCTATCAGGGTGATAATTTCAACGGTCACCCGGTTCGAATTCCCTATTGGTTTGTTTAGGTACTATCGGGGACATAAGTGCTACAGAACCACCTATAACGATGGCCACAATGTTAGTTCCATCAGCATCTGCAAGTGTCACTCGATCAGTGATTGCTTTTTTCCCCCGTAAACCCAACTTCCATCGGTGCTGCACTCCTAGGAAAACCGAAATTGATAAGAGCCAATTTCACCCCAAGTTCAAGGACACCCGTGTAATCAATGAGGTTACCTTCCGAAACCTGCTTTCAATCGAACACAACAGTGGGATAATCACGAGCTACAAGCACGCTTGACACCAATGCCGGTTCCCGATCAGGCACATCTGGTAAGCCCCTTGACAATAAACAACCTGCTCATCCATATTCCGCGGAAGATATGAGCAAAATTCTGAACGGTTTGGCCCAACTAGCTAGATGATTTTTACTTGCCGTGCGCAATGCAATCCAAGTAGATTCAGAGTTAGTTGACTCCACAGCTTCTACGAAAATAAGCCAAACTGAGGGATAATCTGGTACATCCTCAGTCGAATCTGCATGGGATCCGACTGGATCAGCTTCTGGATGAGATCTCGCGCAACCCGTTACAACTCTCTCAACAGCAGCAGGGGAAATCCTTCGGGTTTGCGCACAACTGTTAGCAGTGACCTAACCAAACCCGAGCTACGGCAGCTACGACAAAAATCATGGGTACGGTCTCGTCTGGCGAGGCTGCTAAAACCGGTAATGAGTTGCCTAGTGGCCCCGTAACGGCCAACCAGTCTCGTCCTCATCACTGTACGCCCTCTATGCATCAGAGAATAGTTGGTAAGCAACAGCAGCAACAACAACAACAGTACCAGCCACAACAATGTCAACCCACTTCTCAACAGCAAGAGGCTGCTCCATCCTAAGGGAGTCCTGCGACGACTACCGGAGCTGCCTGTGTCGGTGGTTTATCTGAAGCGCGTAGTGCAGTTGTGGCCGCTTAGGTTCACGGTGCCGTTCGACGTTTGGGTCTGCGACGAAATATGATTTATGGATCAACGGGGGTGGATCGCTCGAACTCAGCTGGTTCAAATCAGACACTTGGCGTCTCTCTAGTGAAACTGAGTGGTATTGGCTGTTTGGCAGTCAGCTTACCCGGTTGACTATGATAGCCGGGTCGGGAAAATCGTGTTACTTCATCGACCACTGCGACCGGGTTTCCCCTTGGTTTCTCTGGCAGACTGGATGCAACGCGTCCGTCTATCATGACCGGTTTTTTCGCTTACATAAGACGGCTGATTTTTGATTTACAGAAAAAGGTTGAACCTGCATTGCATGATCCGATAACAGCAAAAAGCGTTTGTTATGTAACGGCCAGATTGTAGGCCGCCATCTTGTTGTTCGTGGAATGTAAGTGTTGGTGCCTGTTGATGCACTTACTGGGCCTCGATTCATGGAGATTTTTCCTTCTCTTGTGCTTTTGCAGATCACACACGTGCTACCCTCGTCGGAAGAGCATTGCCCATGCGTGTTACAAAATCACCAGCAATCATCGTCTCTTATCTAGTTAACATGTCCTTCCGCTATAGGAGCCGTCTGTGATGCGATTCGAAATATTTGCCGAAGTTTTTTTGACAAGTACTAACCTTCCAAGCACTCCTTCGGAAAAATTCGCCTTTGCTTGGTCCAGAATCTCAATTTTACTCAGATTAAACCTCACTGGTAGGTAAGAGCTTAGATGACTGTGAGTGAGAGGCCCCCGGAAGTGTCCTCTGTTTGATCCCGGGTAGATATACCAGTGAAATCTTTCCATTCTGTTGTAGAGCAACGACTCAAGACAGATACCAAATTTGACGAGTACTTTAAATGGTAAGGTCTCTAATAAAAGTTGATATAACCAGTACCTGGATGGTAATTTAAAACCGAACGCCCGTGTGTGAATCGGAAATCGAGAACCAATCAAGCAGGCAGTCAGTGATTGGCAACTTCGTGCGTGATCAGTCTAATGAGGAGTGCACAACCAAAAAGGAGTAACATAGTAAGAAAAGACCACCACGGTACAAATTGATAGAAACATATCTAATGCGTCGTTTGGGAATAGTTCATCTCTACCGAAAGATCGACGACACCACGATAATACTCTCTATCTGAATCGTAAACTTCCCCAATGTAATAGCAATACAGTGGATCCGTTCATACTTCAAACGTAGTCGTGCTATCAAGGTTGTGATATGGTTAACTTGCGGCTGTGACCTCCCTCCACATGTGAACCTACGGGACGTTCTAGCTCTCCGGAGTATAAACGGGGATAAAGTCCTTTTTAACCACTCTGATGGTGGAATATGGTACTAGCACTCAACGTGCTATTCAATCTCATGGGAAACGCGAATCGAGACCTCGTAGTGAGTTGCTCAAATGGACGAGACGTGGGAAGATCTGACTAGACAGTTCATTTCCACGTCGGATCGATTCGCCTCACTTGATGTTTACCCGCATGGTCACTCCAAATCAAGATCTTGGGCTGTTTTTTCTACACTGATGTTTAGAATGAGACATGCTAGTTTCTGATCAGAGATGAAATTCTCGGCGAAAGTAAGAAGCACTAAAGGACGAGAGTCAAAGAGGAGCGGTTCAGAAAAGTTTGTCAAGGGGTGTGGGATAATAACTTGATCGGTTCAAAATAAAAATAAATTATATCGTAACATGTGAATTCCTTAAGCGGACGTGAAATAATAACAAGGTAGTTCAAGCTTCGAAACAAATAAGTAAGTGTAATAGAAAAATGCGTAGGATTTGGATTTTTTCACTTGCGGATCAGGAGTACACCTCCGGACCAACGTCCAGGGTTGAAAATTGGAGGCTTAAACTTAGAATTCGATCTAAAAATTACTTTAAATCATACTGTTTATCACTGCCATCATCATTCTGGGTTATGACTACCCAAATATCTTCTGTATACCCAACCACCTTTTCCGTTCGAGTATTCTGCTAATAAACAATCAGACCGGACAACAGGATGAAACCACTTAGTCAGTTTTGGTACAAGATTTATTCTTTTGAAAAACCTTTTATCATGCGGCTAGGACACCGAAATCGTCACCAAATATCCTGAAATCACCATGAGCAGTTTCTCATCATGAGTGTGCATCTACCCAGTCAAACATATGACTTTTAGTTTGCATTCGGAGCGTGTATTTATCTTTACACCGTTCTTTCCCAATAAAAGCTATCGCGATCGCATCGCTATGGCCTTTTCACCATAGCGGTAAAGGGGATTTTATGTAACAGACCACATCTTTCGGTTGTCTGAACATAAATTACTTGAACACAATATGACAAAGCCTCCATTCGGTAACAACTCGTCACTCGCAAAACGATCAGCTCTTATGATGGACAACGTCAGTGACGATTGAGGTGCTATGTCAAGTGATGCACTTTGACTTGGGACAAACCGTGGAGAGATAGTGCGGATACAGAACGAAAGTGTGCAACTCAAAATCAAGTGTTCTGGCAAACAATGGATACGCACTGGGACTGATGATGATTCTCCAACAATGCCCGGTGAAACATCTGCCTAATGAGTTTTTCTATGACGTTCAATAGTGAGTTCGATGCCGATTCTACATGAAGAATGAGTGAATGAAAGCACGTAGATGAAACTCCTCATCACTAGTACTGGTGAAAGCATGACATAAAACAAAGAATGCACCTTGTAGCCATTAGTTACCAGTAAATAAGATGCATGTTTTCGGGAGGCCTTGTTCCGGTAAAGGGAAGCTGTAGTTGGAACAAAATTATTACCTACATTTTCCCCTTTTCATCACGAAGCTGGTCAAGTAGAAATTTGGCGAAGAGCCGGTTGGAAGGGGATATCTTTGGCTTAAAGCAGTAGATGCAAATAAAACACTAGCTTGAATCAGCCGAAATTTAAATTATGTATTGATCAATTCATCATACTCTGAAGCAGACATCGAATTACGAAAGGGTACTTTTGCAAAATAATTTTGGTTTCACTGTATCCTCGGATTAGTTCTGGTCTTGATGTCCTGGGAACCATCCAAAAATCAGTGACTTGTGAAGAAATTTCACTCATGATTTGCTGCAGACACTGGTTGCATCGCCACAGTTCGTTCACTATCCGTTCAGTACTCGTTCATTACCTGATGCGAACCTGTAAACGAATCCTTTCCCCGTGATTCATCTTTAACCAAGGGACTTTTTCCATTTAAAATCCTCCAGCCTTTCTGAATGCATCGCTGTAGTAGAGTATGCCATGAATTGCTCGGAAATTATGTCCGGGATTGACAACAATTATGCACACTGGAGCGACACAGAAAACCGTGGGATGACACGGGATACACCAACATACGGAACGTGTGATAGCACTCTCCGACCGAACAAGTATCGGGTTAGGGATAGTTCGATTCCGTTTGTGTAACTTATATGCTAATTCAAACAGAATGCAGGCCAACACCGAGCATCCGAGTATGAAAAATCAGAATAGCCCAATAGTTACAATTTAAACGAATTCCATTCTATACTTTATGCTAAGTTCATTTTTTACCTGCTATCTCTTTTTCATTCCAGTTCATGTGAATTATTCGCGAAAGAAACAGTGTGGACAGGAGAGAGAAAGAGAGGGATAGAAAGAAGAGAGACAGAGAGAGAGAGATAGAGATAGAGATAGAGAGAGAGAGAGAGAGAGAGAGAGAGAGA